AATAAAACCAAGACCTTTGTGGAAAGAGAGTCAATTCATTCCTGTAAGTTTACCTGCTTCAAAAAGAACACTTGGGGTCAAAAGGTCCATGTTTGAATCTAGGCTCTGAGGTCCTATTCTCTGTGAAATGCAGCTGACGCAGGGCTGTCTGAAGCATCAGTCAAGGGAGCTGAGTCAACACGCATGGCCCATAGCAGCTCCTTAATAAACACAGCCTCTTAAGCAACCACGTGCTCTGAAGAGATTCATGTCCTGCCCCTGTCTCAACAGAGGAGATTCCAAACAGGGCATAAAAAGATCTTACCCGGAGGAATCACACTCACTCTCTCTTCCCATTAAGGTTTATGACCTGGCAACAAAGATAAACTTCATGTGGCCATGTGGAAGGGAGAAATCACTTGCCATTTATTTTTTTTGGTCCCTTCCATTGGTGCAAAATTTCCCCACATCCAATTAACTATGGTAAAAGAAGTCTTCCTTTAGAGTCCTATCCTTGACTGATTTACCTAAACTCTGTTCTGGGGCCACGAGAGAGGAACGGCCACGTATTTCTGCTGACTTGGAGTGGACAAAGCTCACCCAGCCAGGCACAAGCAAATAAATGCTCTGCCAGAGAAAATGGTCCTCTCCATCTACCACCTCCGGCACTAACGCTGCTTTTACTCATTCTATGCTGTATAAAAAGGCTTTTATCATATGCTTCCCTCCTTTGTAATACAGCCCCCCTTTTTGGGGAAAAATCTTCAGTAATAAGCCTGCTAGTCTTTTAACAGAAGATAAACAGAGTGCGGTGAACTTAAAACCACTTGATTCTGTTTTACCCAACCACACAGCATTCCCTATTGCTTTCATTTCCTTTCTTCCCATTTCTGTTAATAGATATTTTTAAAGAATTAGAACAGAAGCGGGTCAATAACGCATGCAGATGTTACAAAAGTACTGGGCCATCCTCTGTGTAGAAAAACATGTAAACAGTTAATGGGCGAAGGTAATTTATAATTCTCCTGGTACCAAATGCTTTTTATCCATAATTCCACTTGCATAACAGATGGCTCACTTAAATCCTTACAAAAGAAAGTGGCTCTCCGTTAAACAACCATCATCACCACCACCAACAGATGTTTATACAACATCTACTATTTTTCGGGCAATTGTAGGTCTAGAAGCAAGCAAGCATTAAAGGAGAAGAAAAGAGAAAACAAAAAGTTTCCTCTCCTTCCTCTTATGTTATTCATTTTCTCCTACAGCCTTCCTTCTCTATCATATGAAGATGCTTGTTTGCTTTCCCTCCTCCTGTCTTCTAGGTTAAGTCAAAGAGTTCTCCTGAATGAACCCTTCCAATTTGTTCTGCACTTCTGTGGGGCCAGGAACATCTATGGAAGAGACTCGCTCGACTGATAACATCTTGGCTCTTTCTCCTAGAGCTGGAAGATGGTTGGGTAGCTTAGAAAAACAGACTCAAGCTATCTGGCCTAAGCATCACCCACTGTCTTCACTTTGAAATTATAGAGCATCGGGCCCCCAGGAGTTAGCACAAACTCCCCACCTGTTGGCATCCTCAGGACATCTGTGATTTGGGGTGGTTATGGTGTTAGAATTAGAAATTTTGTCCAACTATTTTCTATGACCGTCTTATCATATTAGAATGCATATAGCAGCCACCTCCTATCATGGATATTTTCATCACCCCCCTCCCGGTATCATTCCCTGCCTGAATCACCTGATGATAGGAAGGGAATGAACAAGATTTCACAGAACACCAAATACCTATTTACAAGTGAGCAAAGGAGTCTTAAAACTGAGTGAAAACTAATGATCTAAAAATCCATTATAATCTGCTTTGAACTAGAGTATTAATCATTGATGTCACTTACTACAAGCATACTACAGCTATTTAGGTAGCAAATTAATATCAGTAAAAAAGTTAAATACGATTCCTAAAGCCCAATAAACACCCCCCCAAAAATAGGCCTCTAGTTTTACAAATATCTAGCTCACCGCCAATTTTCACGACAGCTCTCCAAAATCATAAAGATGAGGTTTCATAACTTACAGCGATCACGACCACCTTCTTTAACAACCACGAAGTACCTGTTTTATTCACGCCCCACCATGGACATTATGTTCTGACATATTTGGTCTATCAAACAAAGCAACTTCTAAAAGTAAATTTCATTTATGTCTAAAAACAATAATGGACAGTTCTGCTCTCTCTCTCTCTCTCTCTCTCGCCTACTTTTCATTTTCTACATTCCCTCTACTTTTTGTTTCTAACTTAGCATTCCCTTCCATTTGTCCCCGCCCTAAATTTACAGGGGAAGAAATATGTACATACAAAACAAATATCCCCAAATCTTAAGTGAACATGCTCCGAGACAAAAAGGTAAGTAGTTCGCAAACGTAAGTAGAATTCAATTATTTAACAGTTTAAAAATAAAACTGCCAGAGTTCCTGATAAAACCCACCAGGCTTCCACACCTTCACATTGGGTGCTTCTCAACGTCCAGTATATTATTCATATACTTAGAGGAAGTAGACATACGAAAGGTTTATGGAGGCATTTGGGCTAAACACCAATGACTAACTCCAAACAGTTCTCGCCAAAACCGAGTGTGTCTAAACCCCCAAAGTAAATGTCTCAGGCCTTCAATTCCGTCACTAGAACCCCAAATCTGACTGTTGGGAAAGCACAGTTCTTGGGGGCTCGAGTTGCTTGGCCTGGTGCCTCGTGCACAATGAGCTGCGTAGTTAACCTCCAAGAGCAGCACCCACTGTGGCACGCCTGCTATTCTTTACCGTCTGGAACCTCGAGTTGATATTAGGCTCGAACCACACATGCAGGAAAAAAGAAAAACTTATTCGCATTTAACTGAAATTGGTGGCCGACAATGCACCGTGCCGTCTAGGCTTTTTCCCATGTTAAGAAAGGAAAGAACGGATCAAGTACAGACCTTCTCCTTTGTTTTCTGGTTCTCTGCTCTGAGGTCTTCATATTCGCCTATTGCTGAAAGAAAAAAGGAAAGCCATGTTATGACAACCATCCAAAGTTTACTGTAGGAAAACCTGGGAATCCAACTAATCCCTACTATCTATTTACTAGGATGTGGGGCGGGCGTGGGGGGCAGGAGAAGAGGCCACAGAAGGGCTTCTGCTTTTAAGAGGAAGGAAGAAAGAGAGGCCATAGCAGATAGGAACCCAGCAAGCCGAATTTTGGTTCTCCCTAGGCCATTGGGAAAGACCTGTGAGCCACAGTGACCTATGACAAGTCACTTCTCTTTGATACTCAGCACTTGGTCCTATGAAAGGAGACGGGTGGGTGTCCCCTGAAGTTCCTTCCAAGCACTGTTAGGCTGTGGTGCTATAACCAGAGGTTTATTTCTAAAATCAGCCTCCAAAAAATAAAGTAGGTTTACACATTCAACTCCCTGTCACACACCTGCTTTATCCACAGAGCAAAAAGTTCATGTTTTGAGCATCCAGCTAATAACAGCTATTTTCAGGCCCTGCAAGATTTTCAGTCACCAAGCCATGATCAGACACCAGTCACATTCATTCACTAGGTCGGAAAAATAATGTGAATTATTTGGAACTATTTCCAACTATGTGGAAAAAACAGCAGTTTTCTACTTAAAACTCTCTACTGCCAGCAAAATAAAGTAACCTGAACCCCCGCCTTCATCTTGCAACCATTTTTAAACATCCTTAACAGCTAAGAACATGACATTTAGCGCAAATGACGGGAAGAATGAGGATGATCCCGGATTAATGACAGAGCACAGGATCTAAGGTGGGCTTAGCAGAACCGCTCCCAGACCGGCGCCTTCACTGGTACAGGGAGCCAAGGAAACCCTCGGTTGAATTTCTTAAATTTTTACTTCTGAAAATGTTAATGGGAATTTTCCTTTTAAAAAATATGTTTTTTTTTTTAAAGAAAAAAAAAGGCAAACAGAGCTTCCTATTTCTATGAATAAGAATAATCTGAAGAGAGAAATAAAAAATCTGAAACCAGGGGCTTCAAGAACACCCCAGATAATCTGGTCATTAATTCTAGAAGTGTGTAATTCTAATCACTGGAGCGGAGAACATTCCAGAAACAGACAGTTCACATGTTTTATTTCCTCCAATAGTGCCCCAAACGGTTTAGAATAGCTACTATGATGGTAGGACCAAAATCTCAAAATCCAATTCAAATGAATAAATATTTATGGGATTATACCACCAAGACCCAAAAGTTTTATCAGCACTCCATGACCATCTAATTAAGAATTAATGGACAATTTTATTATAGACACACCCAAAAACAATCCTTAAAAGTTAGCCCATAAAATAGCTGAATGTATGCATGTAAAGGTAAAGCCATTTTAAAAATAATTATATTTTCAACAGAAAAGATTTGATTGACCACAGAATGCAGCCCTCTGCACACCAGCTTGTCAACCTCCAACACATAAACTCCAACTAATGAGTACAAACTGAATTGTTCTTGATTCTGGAAAAAAAAAATCAATAAAATGCCCCCCCCCCTCCTTTTTAAACAGAAAGAAACAAAAACTAAGAGATTCTAAAAATATGTACTTACGCCATTAGGTAGTCTATGGTCAGGGTCCCAAATATTATGATTGTATCTAATACTGTTTTGAAAATATATACTTTTGAGAGACTGTGCTTAGGTTACTTGACATTTAAAAGTAACTATAGATGACGCTGAAAAATCAAAATGATTTACCACTCTATTCTTAATGACCTACTTTACAGATGTATAAAACAAACAATAAAGGCTTATAAAACCATGATCTCATATTGACATTAAGAAAATTTTTTCCTATTGAAAGCATCAGATAATGGCTTTAAAGGCTTTTTTAAAATACTATTTTTCCATTATATTGCCAATAGAATCCAGATGAAACATTGTACGTTCCCAATTGCTGGCTCATTATGAAAAGTGTTAATTAAGAGCCCTTCACCTATCATATCTTAATGGAAACCACAGAAAATTTGCTTTATTGTGATGATGAGTGAGTTAAAAATAAATAAATAAAGCCAGGTACAGGGAAAGGAGATAAGAAAAGTATGGGAAGAATTCAACCACTTGGTAGCCGGAAGGGAGCACTGGAAAGATAGAGCATAAAAGAAAAAGGAAAACAGTTACTAATATTTTTATTTCTTTGAAGTTAAAAAACCAAGCTTACTGCTGTAAACAATATTTACACGCGCACACACACACACACACACACACACACACACACACCATAATGAATACATATGTAACCCCGTCCTCAGCAAAGCTGGTAAAAACTAGAGTGACCTATGTTACTCAGCTACTTCCTTTTCAGCAATGCTCAAGGGTCACAGAGAAAGCCTTCTCATTGTTTCAGAAATGGCTCACAGTTTGAAAAAAATTTTTAACTCAATTGCACAGCTTACGTAATTTGATGGGAGATCCTCCAAATCTTGAAGTAACCAGTGCAAAAGAAAAGATGAATTTGACCAATTCTCTGCCATGTGAGAAATAGCCACAGCTTGAGAAGACGTCATCTCTCAGTTTACAGGTATAGTACAAGGTCATGTAGCATAGTCTAATTGCAGCCTAAGCACTTACTAGCCAGAGAGAGAGACCTTAGGCAAATTGGTTAATCCCTCTATCTTAGTCAGATTTCTCATCTGAAAAACAGGAATATTAATTATACATCTCATAATGTTGTTACTAAAAGTGAGTGAATGTAAAATATAAGGCATATTAAGTGTTCAATACACGTTAGCCATGGTTATTGTTACTAATACAGCAAAGTACATCAAATCTTGTGTGCATGACAAGAGATTAGGCTGCTCTCTAATGCCCTCAGTCTCGGTCTTACTTTTGTCACATAGGGTCTGAAAGATGGCCGAGCAGGAAATCTCGGAAACCCTAGGCAATACTATCCTCCACCAATAAGAGGCTTACCTAGTCTAAGGCACACCTTGGGCAGCCATTTTTTTTTTAAAGAAGTGAGCACCCCGGGTGATTCTAATGTGCAGCCAAGGGAAGGAGAGTACAGAGTGGATGAAAGAGGAAGATGTGGAGCAAACAAGGAGAATGTCAGGCAGAGCACGAGTTTCAAGAATCATGCTGGTTTTTCTATTTTCTAACTCCCTAATGCCAAGAAAGGGGATTTTCTTTCCAAGCAGCAGATCATGACATAACCAGCCCAGGATGCAGTGGAGTAGGCTCAGCTGTTTCAGCAACATGACAACTGAAGTTCCTAACTACAGGCCAATAACACCTCTGGCTGGGGTGAACAACATCCCAGTTCGCCTGGGACCGTCCCAGTGTTAGCACTGAAGAGTCCAGTGTCCCTGGAAATTCTCAGTCCCAGGTAGGTCAGTCACCCTATCTCTAACATTAGCTCCAGGTCAGTAATTCCAACCAATAATATCGCGACCTACACTGTCAAATATGGTAGCCACCAGCCACGTGTGGCTACTTACATTGAAAATAATTAAAATTAAATAAAATTGAAAATTCAGTGCTTCAGTAGCACTAGCCACATTTCAAGTGCTCGATAGCTGCGCATTGCTAGTGGCTACCATAGTGGACCGTGGACACGGAACATTCCCGTAACAGCAGAAAGCTCTGCTGGAAAGTACTATTCTGGAAATCTGTGTCCAGATACTCTCTCTACAAGCACCTCAAACTCAACACATTAGAAAGAGAATTCATCGACTCCCATTCACGCCAACCTCCTGCTACTTCCTGTATGTAGGAACTCCTGTCACTGATGTCCTCACCTGCCTCGTCCTCAAGTTAGTACCTCAGGGTCACCTTGATGCCCCGCTTGCTTCCACCTCCAAAGGACCATCAAACTGCTCAGGTCTCTTAAAAGGTCTCTCTGATCTGCCCTTCCTCTACAGCTAGTATCTCTGTCCTAATTCTGACCCTTAGTAATGACAAAACCCTCTTATCTAGCTTCCCTCTATCTCAAGTTCATTCTTTATAAGGTGTCAGAAAAGTCATGACACATTTTTACAACGAAAAACATAGAAAAAATACGTCATGACTTTTCCAACACCCCAATAGATAGTTAGCATAGTAACAAAGCAACCTGGTTATTTTGTTCTCTTGTTTAAAATCCCCGAGATGTTAGCTTCACAACCTGGACCCCACTGGGCCCCCACACACACATACTCCCACCATTCAGCCTCAGAGACCACAACTCACTCTATCCCATCCAAAGTCCCAATGCTTCCCTGAACCTTCTAAGACCTTTACTACCCAGGTGCCTTTACAAATACTTTTTCCCTCCACCTGCAGGGTCTTTCTCTTCCCGCCTTCCCCACCTCCTTCTCTTCAATGCAGTTCAACTGTCATTTCTTCTAAGAAACCCTCCCAATATGCCTCAGGCAAAAATCAGCACTTATATTTCTAATATGCTACCAGAGTACACTGTTGATCTCTCTCTATTGGATAGAGCATCTACATAGAACGTTATAAATTATCTGAGCACAGGTCTGTTTTCTTGTCTTTTCTCCCACTGAATTCACTGCTATACGTGTATCCCTCACCCCAAGCTGAATAACCAAGGACAGAGTCGATGCCTATGTTAAATGAATGGCTAGCTCCTATCAATCTGTGATGTAGAGCAATTAAGCCAAATGGTAACATCTCAGCTTTAAAAATGAAGACACAAACACACAGTCAAGTCCCACAGTAAGAAATGGTGACAGCAGAACCAGCCTACTGAGTCCTAGTGTTCATGTAAAAAAGCATTACTGAGCAGTTGCTGAAGCACTAGACCAGAAATAACCCTCCAGGATGACGACTATTCTTTAAGCATCCAGATGCCTGCATCTAGCACGCTGCCTGACATACAGCAGGCACTTGATCCATGTGTGTTAATTAAAGAAGGAAGAATGGATCTAGCTAGGTCTTCACATGAACACATCATAAAAGAGCACACACTCTCCTTGACATATTAAAAGGGTCTCTTACATCATATGCTCCAACAGGATACTTAATAAAAAATGAAG